CAAATCGATTTTAGAAACAAATTTTTTCCGTTGTTACCCAGGCCTAATAGATATGATTCTCACACACAGACAGATATAGTATCATAGATTTGAAAGAGACCCTTAAAGAAGGACTATGATATGTTGCATATTCCAGAGTAGGCAAACCAGACACTCTCCACATCAACACTGACAAAGAAACAAGAAATACTGTTTACTCACAAGCATAAAGAAATTGTATATATTAGAAACCAACCCTTTCTCATTACTTTATTTTCCAGATCACCACCAGACTGGGCCACAGCAACGCGTGGCAGGGGACAGCTAGTATCTAATATAAAAACACAAAGAATACACAAGAATCAATAAGTTAATTTTAAATGATATTAAAATTCACTGTAGATATCTGGAATTCCATAGCTTTCCCCATAATCTCTTCCTGTTAACGGAATCAAAGGCAGCAGAAAGATAAATGAAAGCAGCGAAAACATGTTTGTTCTTTTCTCTAGTACATTTATTTATGATATGATTTAGTGTGAAGCATTGATTTATGGTACTATATCCACTTCTGAACCTTGCCTGTTCTTCATGTATACATTACTTTTCTTGTAGCTAGTCCGTCAGTTTAAGAAGTTGGGCATTGAGCATAAAGCTTGGACGTGATGTTGAGCAAATTAATTGGACAATAGTTTAGAGGGTCATTCCTACCTCCTTTCTAGTAGATAGGACATACTATGCCTTATTTGTTTGATTTGATAGGTGTCCAGTGCTGCTTATCCTGGTATTTAGGCTAGCAAGAAAGGGCCTCCACCATTCCACGTTTTCCTTGAAGAGTTCTGGAGGAAGCATGACTTCTCCCGGTGCTTTCTTAGTTTTCAAATATGCAATTATTGACTTTACCTCATTGCTAAAGACTGGTTCCCACTCAGGAAAAATAGAGAAATCTTTGTCCAGCCCTGCCACTTCCAAGGTGCTTGACTGGCTGCAGAAGATACCGGAGAAGTATTTAATCCAAGTAGAGCAGTGATTGAGGCTTCCAATGTACATCTTGCTACTTGTAGTCTTCTGGTAACAAGTTCCCAGAATTTGTCTTCCTTCCATTCTGTTACTGCCTGGACCAATTTTGCCCTGCATTTAGTTACATTTTCATTTTTTTTTCCAGATGAGTTTCTGTGGGATTCCCATATATTATGTTATGTTATGTTATGTTATGTTATGTTATGTTATGTTATGTTATGTTATGTTATGTTATAGATAGATAGCCAGGTCTCTTTTGCCAGCCCTGCATTCTGCATCAAACCAATCATATTCTGCAGGCTGAATATTTTTTATCTGTAGATGTTGTTACATAAAGTCTAAGCTCTTTTATAATTGGGTTGTTACAAGTTTTTCGGGCTGTATAGCCATGTTCCAGAAGCATTCTCTCCAAAGGTTTTGCCTTTTATAATTTGTTGAGCGATAGTTAAGTGCTCTGCTGACTAATTAAAGAGTTGTTGATGTATGCTTGTCAAATAGTTACTATGTAATTTCTCTTTGATAGTGCTATTCATTCTATCCCAGGTAAGGTACAAGCCATGCCCACTATGCTCCCTGAAATAATCCAGTCAATTTGGCATAATGGTAGTTGACAAGTACTTGGTGATCCTGCAGTCTCTTTCAGGCAGGAAGGTAGTGTGTTGAAATACTCGAAAGATTGTTTGCAAATAGAACATGAGAGGAATAAACAGCTTTAAATAGAGATGGATATGTGTGTGTGTGTGTGTGTGTATATAAACTGTATATATCCAGACAAATTGATAAAGAGATCAATAAGGCCGTACTGACTTCCAGTTAGTCATCATCATAAAAAATATTTATTACCCACTTCTCAATCCCCTGTGGTGTCTTCCAACTTGGTATTATTCTAAGTAGTAGTCATCACAATAATAAGAATAATATGCTTTATTTGTTACCTGCTTCTTATCACAGTTTGAGGTAGGGCATAAACACAGTCAAAACAATTTAAAGAAAATTACAAATGTTAAAGTACATGGTACAAAGATTATCTATCTATCTATATAAATAAAAATGTAATGTTCGTTTGTGGGATTAACAGAACTCAAAAACCCCTGGACAAACTGGCACCAAATTTGGCAGCAAAACACATTCTAATCTGATCTATGTCTTTCAAACAAAAAAAATCTTAAAAATAAATAACTTAAAAATCCCCCCCAAAAAAATACCTAACAGAGCATGTGCAAAAAAACCCCTTCCCAGCGCGCGAGAAGGCTGACGCACCAACTGTTGTGAGAGAAGAGAAGCCTTGCAATGGAGTCCTTTTCCAAGCAGGAAGGCAGAGTCCTCTTTGTTTTGGAGAGGGAGGGATTGAGAAAAGGAAAGAGGGAAGGAAGGAGAGACGGAGGGTGTGGAAGCTTGGCGAGGCAAGCCCCTGCCACCATAGAGGCTCCTTGCGGGCCAAATGGCCCCCAGGCAACCCTCCCTGCAAAACCGGAGGATTGCAAGGCAAGCCTGGCTGCACGAGTGGTTGCACACACACACCCCCTCGGAACCTGTTGGTTGAAGGGAGAATGCAAACCATGGGAAGACCAGCAACTCCCCCAGTTGGGCTCCACATTCCCCTTTCCAACCTTTCATCCCCCCCCCCCCACCAATATCCCCCCCCCCCCAATTTTAAAACCCCTTACAAACTGCCATGGAAGGAAGGGAAAGGAGAGAAGAAAGGAAGAAAAGAACTGGTTAAGAGAAGAATATGAATGGAAGGAAAGGTAGAAGGAAAGAAAGAGGGAGGAAAGGAAAGGAGGCAGGGATGGGAGAGGGAAGGGAGGGAGGGAGGGGGAGGGAAAGGAGAGAGGAAGGAAGGGAGGAAGGAAGGAATTATTATTATTATTATTATTATTATTAAGGAGAGTCTAATTGGCCATCTATCAGGAGTGTTTTGATGTGGTTGAACTGGATAGCCCTTGGAGGTCTCTTGCAACACTAGGATCCTATTAATGTGAATTCCTCCTAAACCCCTCCAGTATTTTCTGCTGGCCATGAAGGTTCTTTGTGCCAAGTTTGGTTCAGATCTGTCATTCATGGTGGTCTTAGTGGTCTGTGGAAATCTGAGCTGAATCAGTTGAACGTACTCCAAATCCCATCATCCGTTGTCCGTACTCCCCAAACTTATTGTTTTTGTGATTTATCAGTATACTTTGATTATGTTAAATTTATAACAACAGAAATACAATGTATCATCAAAGACTTTCAACATAAATACATCTTACATATCAGATATTTACATGATGATTCAGAACACTAATAAATTTACAGTTATGAAGGAGCAACGAAAATAGTATTATGGTTGGGGGGGTCACCACAACATGAGAAACTGCATTAAGGGGTTGTGGCATTAAAAAAGTTTAGAAACGTTGCTAAAGACATTCTATAAAAATAAATAAAATACTGTCAGTGTCTTTATGATAAACATAAATAAAAACCACTGGGTGAATAGACACCAAATTTGGACAAAATAAATATATCAGGCCAACAAGTGACCATCACTCATAAAAACACTGAAAAACACAGCAGAAGAGACTAAAAAGCCATTACAATGCATGCGCAAAACAACATATTTACACATATACACAAATATATACACACACGTATATACATATATATACACACAAAATACATATACACAGACTGGGCCATAGCAACGCATGGCAGGGGACAGCTAGTATATATATATAAATGCTCTGTTCGTTTTGAGTGACATCATAATTCAAAAACTGCTGGATGAATTGCCGCCTAATTTGGTCACAAGACACCTACTAATCCAAAGAGGGACCATCACTCAAAAAAATTGATTTTGTCATTTGGGAGTTGTAGTTGCTGGGATTCATAGTTCACCTACAAGCAAAGAGCATTCTGAACTCCACCAACGATGGAATTGAACCAAACTTGGCACATAGGACTCCCATAACTAACAGAAAACACTAGAAGGGTTTGGTGGGCACTGACCTTGAGTTTTGGAGTTTTAGTTCACCTACATCCAGAGAGCACTGTGGATTCAAACAATGATGGATCTGGATCAAACTTGGCACAAATACTCCATATGCTCAAATATGAACACAGATGGAGTTTGGGGGAAATAGACATTGACATTTGGGAGTTGTAGTTACTGGGATTTATAGTTTATCTACAACCAAAGAGCATTTTGAACCCCACCAACTATAGAATTGGTCCAAACTTCCCACACAGAACCCCCATGACCAGTAGAAAACGCTGTGTTTTCTGGTGGTCTTTGACAACCCCTCTGAAACCTCCTCGCGACACTCCCGGGGATCCTGACCCCCAGTTTGAAAAATGCTGCCTTAATACAATCCAGTCCAACTCCCTTCACCGGGGCAAGAAAAACATAATCAAAGCCCTCTTGACAAAGAGACATCCAGCCATAGATATAGATAGATAGATATGATTCACACACACACGCATATATATGTATATGACAGATATAGTGTCATAGATATGAACGCGACTCCTAAAAAAGGGCAATTATTTGTTGCATGTTCCAGTGTAGGCAAACCAGACAATCTTTATATCAACACTGACAAAGAAACAACAAGAAATACTGTTTCCCCACAAGCATAAAGAAATTACATATATTAGAAACCAACACTTTCTCATTACTTTATTTTCCAGATCACCAGACTGGGCCACAGCAACGCATGGCAGGGAACTGCTAGTAGAATAGGCTTGCTGGAATTGATAGGTCTTCACTTCTGGCTTGGATTCTCACTTTTCATTTAGCTATCTGATCTTGATGGTGCTTTGATTGTGCTTATCCTGCAAGACTGTTTGAGAAATGCTGCTATAACCAATCTGGCTGCCATGTTTTAAAACTAATTGGAGTTTCCAAACTTGCACATGATAGATGAGATTACCAGCATGTGCACAACGATTTCGTATCAAAAGCTGCTGAGAGCTCTAAAAGCATTATAATGTGTGTTTGAACTACTAAGGCTAATTCTCTTTTACAGGAATCCAGTGTGAACGTCCTCCCGTTATTGACAATGGAAGCCACAATTTAGACGGACATGATGTTTATACTGTTGGCACCGTGATAACGTACACTTGTGATGGAAGCCTTTCCCTCATTGGAAATTTAAGTATTACCTGTGTAGTTGAAAAAGATACCGAAAATGGAATATGGGATAGCCCTGCACCTAAGTGTAAAGGTGATGAATTATTATCTTAATTACTGATATTGTAGTTGACTGTGCTGGGGATGCTTTTATCTAATCATTGTGTGTTTGCTTTTATTCAAAGTTCTCTTGTTTAAGTCTTCAATCATATTGAATTTTACATGGCTTCTAACTATGCAAGAGTTAGTTTATGTAATACTTTTAATGTTGCATTGTTTGGCATTTTATCATTTTATAATTGGGTTTATATATACTTACTTGTTCGTTCTGTATGCAAAAGACCCATGGTCTAAGCATTAAATAACATTGATTGATTGGTTGATAATATCTTATATGAGATCACTTTTATTGCACAGAAATACTGGAATGAAAGTATTGCAAGGTCTAATAGCATAATCCACCAAGTGTAAGCCTATCTTGGCTTTAATGGGACTGCAAACAGTGTAGCAGAGTAGTGAGGATATCCCACTAAATGTGATGTTTCTTTCAAATGCATCATCTGGGCATTTGTGTCTGGTAGAGCAGGCATGATCAACAGAATAGAGATGCTTTCCTTCTTACAATACAGCAGCAACAAAAATGAAAAAGTCATTGTCATCCTATGGAGATGGGTTGAGAGAGCTTTAGTCCACTGCTTCTTGAGTGCATTTTTTGGAATGATTAAGCAAATGACATCTTTCTTTGGGATGAAATAATTATATATAAAATAACATATGACAATCATTCTGTGTCTTAAAGTGGCATGTCGAGATACAGCAACAACATTAATAACTTACACAGGTACCTTGAAAAAGCATATTTTAATGGCAATAACTGGTAAGCAAAAAATGTCAAGAAATGATACTTTGGTGAGCCAGTTAAGTTGTGGACTGGTAGAGATATAGCACCTAAAACAATTTAAAGTTGAGTTGGTGGAGAGGTTGGGGAGGCTATTGCGCAGACCAATATGAGAAATGTTTGTGGGAAGAGGAGAGGAAATGTTACATATATCAAATGTAAAATTATAAGGAAAGTCCTTTTTCCTCTTGCATCTAGTGGGATACCTCATACTGACTTAGGGGTCAAACTTTTTACTTAAAGCCTCCTAGTCCTACTCAAAGTGTTAGTCCTCAGACTAGTGTTGCACTGTAAGCTGTGGTGTATCGTATGTGACAGGGAGGGAGGAAGCCAGTGGGCACAAAGAGGAGATTGGAGGCATGGCAGACACATCACACTTGTTTTCTGCTGCCCTGGAGACTAGGCCTTTGAGGAATGGGTTCAGATTACAGGAAAGGTGATTCTATCGTCCTGACCATGAGAGCTTTTCAGCAGTGGAACGGAATGTAATCAAGATTCCTTCTTTGGAGACTTCTAAGCAGAGGCTGAATGGCCATCTGTCAGGGGTACTTCGATTGTGTTTTTCCTGCATAGCTGGGGGTTGGACTAGATGCCCCCTGTGGTCTTTTCCAACTTTATGATTCTTTGTGTTTGTGTATGCTATAGCATTCATTAATTCAATTAATGGGAATGAAACTGGTTCTTTGCGAGCACTATTCATTGCATTTCATTATGGCTGCAGGTTGATTATTTTCAATGGTTTTCAAGTTTAAGGTGCCATGAGCTGATCTGATACAAACACTTTCTTATTCATTGGCATTCTTCTCTTTCCAGCTGTTGAGTGCAGCAGACCACAAATTGAAAATGGAAGGCTAACAAGTGCGTTTCAGCCTACGTACAAGTATAACCAGAGACTGCAGTTTGTATGCAACGATGGCTACACTCTGCAGGGACCTGAGTTTGTTACATGCAATTCTGACAGTGAATGGAGTCCTGAACTTCCAAAGTGTTACATAGGTAAATATTTTCTGTGCCTATATTGATTTCATACAAGCTTGGGTGCATATGAATGCTAAATTATCTGCCTTTGCAAGGCTAGATTGGATGGGCAACTTACTAAGGAACAGGGGTTTCATACAAATGTCATTAGACCCAGGAACTTCTACTCTATATTATTGTCTTGCTTTTAGTCCAGAATCTCTTCACACTCTCTGGCAGTAAAGGGAAATTTTTTTGTATAACCTTTGGCCAAGCTGCTTTAGGTCAAGGAGACTTTTAAAATAAAAGAACAGAAAAGAAAGAAACCTAGGAAGTAACCTGGTTTTCAAAACAGCTTCCTATAGGTCCAAGGTCTTGCTTATCATAATTGCAAAGTCTTTCCCAATCTTCACTAAGGAAAGGGTCTTTCCAAAGTTTTAAAAATGAAGGGAATCAACTGGAGAACTGCAAAAAAGGATTTGGAATCCACTTCATGCCTGCCAGCTACACTTTGTCATTTTCTGGTCTAAACGTTTAAGCACATAACCCTCAGTTTTGGGGATGGAAAATATTTTCTTTGGGACAACACAGTGGTGCTCCATACTGGAATTCTGTCACTTTGGATCCTTTCCTTATCTTTCTGTTAATATAGAATAGCCTGGGATGCAAAATCTATGACCATGAGCATGAGTGGGCTCTTGTCACATCTAGACCACCATTTCATTTCACAGACTGAATATTAGACTCCCTTTATTTTGAAATAAAGAAAATCTGGATTTATTTGAGAAAGAGTCGTTATCCCCTCCCATTCACAGAGATGTTTGTCACATTAGTTACTACTGTTGTTTTAGTGTAGACTAGTTATATTTCAATGCGACTTAACCTGTTCTAATCTAGTAAAATATATTTGTATTTTGATTAATTTTATTGGTAAACTAGCTGTACCCACCACACGTTGCTGTGAACAACCTTCCCTCTCTCTTTCTCCTCTTTCTTTCTTTCTTTCTTTCTTTCTTTCTTTCTTTCTTTCTTTCTTTCTTTATTTCACCCCTTCCTTCCCTCCCCCTTTCCTTCCTTCCCCCCTATTTCTTTCCCATCCACTTTCTCTCCTATCTTCCTTCTCTACCTCTTTCTTTCTTTCCTTCCTTCCTTTGGTCTTTTGTTCCATCCTTCCTTCTCTCTTTCCTTCCTTTCTCCCCTCCCCCTTTCTCTCCTTTCTTTCTCTCCTTCTTTCCCTCTCTCTTTCCTTCCCTCCTTCTCTTTTTTTCTTTCCTTCTCTCCTTCCTTCTCTACCTCTTTCCTGCATTCCCCCCTTAATCTTTCTGGAAGGACACAGGAGAGAGGAAGGATGATTTATTGTTGCCACCAATTTGAAAGGAACCAGTATTCAGGAGATTTTACCCCAGTTCCCAATTTTAAAAAAGAACTAGCCGATTTGAAATGGAGGTTGCCGATTAGGAACCAAATTTACCACCAAGTTAGAAGGGAGGCTGTTCAATTGCACCTCCTCCTTTATTAAGAAAGTATTCACTTAGGAGTAATTACACTGTATATACTGCAGTGTGACTGGAGAGAAGAATGTAGATTTATTTGGTAACTTTTCTCTGTTTCTGCCACCACGTGAGGTAAGTTGTAATATTGTGAGGAATGGCACCTTGGACACAGAATAGACGGAGTTGAGGCAATCTTCAAATAAAAGTTAACAATTTTATTAACTACACAGCGTGTGGTTGCAAGACGTAACTTTTCCTTGTAGCACTTGGAATAATATTTGTAACTTTAACAGTTCATTCTTTCAAGTAACACAGTATCTTTCTGACGTAGAGCACTTGTCTCAGACAAAGTTTCAATACAGGGATGTTTCCTTTATTTGATCCTCCCTAGATCAAATTCTAAGTAAACTATTCTTTAGCCTCTCCTTAGACTAAACGAATACCAGCTATGTTTCACCATTCGGCTGCAACTAGCCTGAGAAACTTCCAATAGCCAAACCCAGCTTTTCAAAGCCTCAAAGCTTTGCTTCACAAGTCACTCCGCCACCTTTCCTTTCCTTCTCTCCCAACTCCTAACTCCTCACTCCTCTGAACCTAACTCCTGACTCCTCTGAACCTAAACCCTGACTCCTCTGAACCTAAACCCTGACTCCTCTGAACCTAAACCCTGACTGAACATTAACTGTCGTTTTTTTTAAACTCTCCCCTCTAAGCTCCTCCCACTTCCCTCTCTCCTGTATCGGTCTCCATGGCAACGCACATGGAGGACTCCTCTGACTTAGGCCGCTCCAGCATTACTGCAGCCAATCTAAACACAAATACAGTTAAAATCATACAATTTATAATCAACTCCTGTACACTCTGCCTTCCACTTTCTCTCCTTAGTTCCTTCTCTACCTTTTCTGCTTTCTTCCTTCCCTCTTTTCTTTCCTCCTTTCTTCTTTCTCTCTTTCATTCCCTCCCTCTGTTCGTCCTCCCCCCCCCCACTTTCCCTCCTTGATTCCTTCCCTCTAGACATAAACCAGAAAAGAGTTGGGCCCAAAGGCAGCACTTGAGAAAGGTGTGTCCCTGCCCTCTGCAGAACAAGGGCTCCACAGTTATTACACTGGACATCTTGCAGGGAGGGAGGAGGACTGTCTCCTGGGCCAGGTCTGGCAGGCGAGGGGTTAAACGGAAGTGTGTGGGACCTGTGACCAGACAGACAGCCAACAAGGCGGCTACTGCTGCACCTGTGGAAAGTGGCCCGGGCTTGAGATGTGGTCTGAGCCACTTGCAAAGTTTCCCTGGTCACTCATCTTTGACGTGAGCGACCACCCTCCCCACCCCCCACCCCCACACACTTTCTTTGTACCCTCATGTCACCCTCAGGTCTTCTTGTCACTTCCCCCAACTGCCTGTGTCTTTGGAGTCACAGGACTGGGGGCCAAACTGCTGTGGGCCAAGGCCACCCACTGAGGACCACAGCCTTCTGATGTGATGGTAGCACAGGCATGGGCAAAGGAGAGCTGTTTTCTTTTCCCTCATATGGGGAGGGGGAGTCATTTTTGTGCATGTGCTGTGCTGTATAATCATTTAGCTTTGGGGGGGGGGTTAAAGTCCTTTCTGCTTATTTGGGGGGGGGGGGGGTCATGAGTGATGGTCACTCACTGGTCTGTTAGACAATCTTTTGATGTCTTCGAATGTCTTCCTATTCTGCATGGTCATATTGATTACCTTTATTTTATTTTATTTTTTAAGAAAATACTTTTAAACTCTCCAATAAAGAAATAAAAGTAGCCTAAAATTTCCCATTTTGCAAGTAGAGAGTAAATATTACTCTATAAAACAAAAATAATATTTCTGTTCTGTTAACTGTCCAAGTTTTTTAAGTTTAAAAAGACTGTCATTTCCACACTGTTGTCATTATTAGTAGCCCCAAGTTGACCTCAACTGAGAAAGCTCCAAGTCACTCTGTTATCAGCATCCCTGTTTGAAGTAAGCCATAACTATAACTTAAACATTTAGAAACATTTTAACAGTGTTCCACGAGAAATCATCTTGTGAAATCTGTTATTAATGATAGTCCATAGGGACTTTGTGGACTCTTGAATGTGAAAAGAAATCACTAATCTCAAAATCTGTACTTGTCTCTTGTTACACAATAGAGCCAGAAAAGACAACCATAAGACCAGGCCCAGGCACAACAACAACAGAAACCATTACCAAAGAAACCAAGGTTTACATTACCAAAGAAACTGGTAAAGAATTGCGTTAATATTTGTATTGATATATTTTTGGTTTTTATAGAAATTCTGTACAGGAATATTTCAGTTAAGGAAGTAGATTTATCTCAAAGCATTTAACAGAAAAATTGGTGGCTGTGGCCTGAATTATATGGAAAAAATAGTGATAGCAAATAAAGCAAACATTTTACTCTAAATGAACAATACATAGGTCTAGTCAGGTAATCCCTGAATAGGTGAACAAAAATATTTTTAACTTTTTGCAAGGCTTCTCTTAAATTGCGTCCAGTGATCATTTTCTTTCCACCATCCACCAGTTTTCTTAATTTGGTAGCATACAAAGTGTAGCAGTTGAGGCAGGCTTCTCTGCTCCTTTTTTGCAGTCTTTTGTTGTTTGTGCATGCTCAGTAAGGAGTTTTGGAGGCAGCTACCATTTTCTTGCCTTTGGTAGACACATGTACAGCACACAGTAGAATTAGCTAGAATGGAATATCTTTTTTAGTTCAGGCTTTCTTGCATTGTTTACTATTGCAACCTATTACTGAAAAGCTGTTTTCCAGCCCTCCTTCACATCTTCCCAGCTAGACAGAGGACGAGCAGGAAAGTGGGGTTGGACAGACATAAAAATAACTTATCCAGATAAATAATAAAATAAAAATAAAGGATAAAAATAATTTATCATTTGTTGATTGAGGTATTCTTATATTGTCTTTTGGTACAAATTCCCAGAGCTGTTTACAAATGGATATGTAGACTTTGTGCTTTACATCTCAAGACACTTAGTTTTAAAATACGTAGTGAAAAAACAATGTTTTGTACAAATATTTATTTATTTGTATCCTGTCCTTCTCAACCCCGGAAGTGGGACTCAGGGTGGCTTACAATTTGCAGTCATTTGATGCCGACAAAGAAACAGAGCACAACAATTAAAATGAACAGGTCAACAGCAATAAAAAATACCATAAAAGACAATAAAATACATTTTTAAAGTAATAAAATACATTAAAAATATTGGCCCTTAAAATATTAACACAACCAAGTCCGCAAATCCAAATATAGTTCAGAATTCCAGTCCAAGGTCTCTTACAAGTCATTACAGATGTTGCTCAGCCAGCTGCCTGAATGCTTGGTCCCAAAGCCAAGACTTGAGTTTCTTTCTGAAGGAGAGCAGAGAAGGAGTCCATATTTTTAGACCTTCTCACAGGCAGCAGCAAGACAATGCTTGAGTGAATGCCTTTCATTCCAGGCGATACTCTGTAATCTTAGTGGAAGGATACTGTGATGGATATACATAATGGGGAAACCTGTATATATTTAAAGCTACAATTTTCCCTGCAGATTTCTTGACTGTGTGGGAAAGCAAGGCTGAAATGCTGTAGTAGTTGGTACTGGGATACTACATATATTGCTGTAGGATGAGTGCTAAAGGAAACAAACATACATAATACTACAGGAAAGCTTGAGAAAGAAATAGAAGCATCTGTTAATGGTTGTGTTATTAAAATGAATCGGTTAAAGAAAATATTGGTTCTGTAAGTGTCTAGTTCTCACTTCACTGGGATAGAAAGGGCAAAATGCATACATGCACACAGGCATTTTCAAATATACTCTGATACTCCCCCAATTCAGGCTAAACTTCCATTTGTCTACTGATAGAATACTTCATGAATAATGCTTTTATATTTAGCCAGGCTGTGTGTGTGTATGTTTGTGTGTGTGTTGGGAAAGGGCTGACAAGTTCCTCCTTACCAAAAGCCTTGAAACAGGAAATGCAGAGTCACCCACATCTTGTTTCCTTGTTTGGTATGCCATATATCTGCCTTCCCCTCCTGCCCTGGCATGTTTTGGTACTTTCAGGCTTGATACAATTTGCAACAGATACTAGAGATGAAAACGTGACCCCCAGCTCTCTCAAAGTTGCCCACTTCTGCCCTAGGACAGTCTGATTGTGGTGTCAGAGGTCTTTGTCTTACAATCTCTATTTTGTTTGGTTTTTAAGTTTAACATAGCCTGGTTACCTTCAGTAAAGCAAAGTTTAGACTTAAGCCACCTTGTCCTTTTTCCTTTCTCCAGAATGCCTCAGCCCTCATGGGAACCAGTGGCATTTGTGGGAAAGGAACAGGGCAGAGCGAGGATTTTGCTTTCCAGCCTGTCCAGCTAAAATGCCTTTCTAGAAAGGGGCGGGGAGGGGCTCTTACTGTTTTGGAAGGCAGCAGGAAGCATCTCGTGGTCAAAGGAGTTAAGAAACACAAAGCTTGGAAAACCAGGTTATCCCCCTCCCTTTTTTCTTGTTTATTTTATATTTTCTGGTTTCCAACTCCAGTCAACCTTGGCAGTGCGTTTTTGAATGAGCAGGTGAAGGAGGGCATTATATTGCTTTGCAATAAAGCTGAGGAAACTGATTATTTGCTGAAATGCAACCAAGTCATTGATAGAAGGCTTTTATAGTCTAAAAGTTGTTTATAGTGCTGATTGTTCATTTTTGACACTTCCCAATAAAAATAGGAAAATAAATAAATTGTGAAAAAATATATGATAAAAGGCTTTGTGCTCTTTGCTTCTTTATGCTACTTTTTGCTATGCCTCTTTTTCTTTTCTTTTTTGTCCTTTCTTTCTTCTTTCTTTCTTTCTTTCTTTTTTGTATCTTTTCCTCACCTAAGGGAACTCAAAGCGGTTTCCAACATAAAGGCAAAATTCAATTCCATACATACATCTGAAAACCAAAAGATACAGTAGAGTCTCACTTATCCAGTATAAACGGGCCGGCAGAATGTTGGATAAGCAGAAATGTTGGCTTATAAGGAGGGATTAAGGAAAAGCCTATTAAATGTCAAATTATGTTATGATTTTACAGATTAACCACCAAAATATCATGTTTTACAACAAATAAACAGAAAAAGCAGTTCAGTACATAGTAACGTTATGTAGCAATACTGTATTTACCAATAACTTATGCATCTTTTTCTTCATATGGAAACTTTCTTTCCGGACGTATTTTTTAAAAATGTCCATAGCATTTTTTGTAAATCCCAAAATGTTAACGTATTTATAAAAAAGTATCTCTTTTATACAGGATCTACACAGCGTCCAGATCCTGGAGATAAACCGGGTGAAGATAAACCAGGTGAGGCAGCAACCCGATAATCTGATTGTGATTTTCTCATAGACAAAACAGTGCAGCCACTGGCAGGGGCAGTTCAGTTTCTTTATCTCATGCTTTTCCTTGAAACACCTGCATACCATGAAATTTGACAAGCACATTGTGCTTATGTGGATAAATAATTGTATTGGGTTTGCTGTAACTTGCACCCACAGAAGTCCCACTGCCCTTCTAGATTTCATGTTGCTTCTATTAAAGCCTGGTGGAGCTATAGAAATTTATAGGTTTTGATATGTTCCTGTTTTATTTAGTTCGTTAATGTATGTAGATGAATGACATGTATGTAGATTTTCCTTGGCCTCAAAGGATGCAAGAAAGATTTGTCCAGCTAAGGGTCATTCTCAAGTTGTTTAAGACAGCTTATCGTGTTCAAACAATTCATGAGTGCTGTATCAGTAGTCTTTTCCTCATTACTAAAGAAGCTCAGGCAGTCCTCAAGTTACAAACATCCAACTTACAAGCAACTCACAGTTAAGAATGTGGATGAGACAGCAGGAAGTGAGAAAAATCTACCCCTCAGAAGGGAAATTCACTTCTGAAAGAGTTATCATGGGGAAATGTGTCTCCACTTAAGCTTTCTCACCAATCCTTGTTTCCACAACAAGCCAAAATTTTCAAAATCCAATTGTCACAGGGACAGAAAGTGAGGTGAAATTTTCCGAACAGAGGAACAGACAGCAAAAGAAACATCACAGGGGTGATAACCCTTTTTTATGCTATCCAAAGTGCATTTGACTGGCGTTACGCTTAAAAATGTGCCTATTCTGACATACAAACAAATTCAACTTTAGAACAAACCTACAGAACCTATCTTGTTCATAACTTGGGGGCTGCCTGTACTGTGATTTTTGAAAGGGCTCTAAAATTTCAACAAAAGTAATAAGAAAACTAATTTTGTTTTCTGACCAAAACCTAACCATTATCTTTTTTAAAAAAGAAACCACATCAAGACTGTGGGAATAAACCTGAATTGTTATATTTTTCTTATAGCAACAAAGCCAATTCCTAGGTCCTAGCTAGAAAGAGAGATTACATTTCTCTGGCGCTGACCATACCTTGAAACATAAGGTCTATTTTTTTTCTCTCTTTCACTTTAGGAAGTAACACAATTGTGGGAATTGTCATTGGTAAGTAACTCTTTAGTGATATATTTCAATAGACAGCTATTGTCATTGTTATTTTTTATTTATTAGATTTATACCGGGGTTTTTTTTCTCCCAGGCTGAGATCCAAGTATTGAACAAATAACTGTTGATTCTGAGTCCTACTGGAGGAATTTGGGTTTTTTATTTTAAAAGATCTGGGTTTCAGGGTTAATATACATTACCTGCTTATAGACTTACTGAATCCAACATTATAGAATTCCTTGAGTGATGAATTCCATGGTATCTAGAACATTTTTGAAAAACTGTGTTGCTACTTACACTGAAAAGATTTCTTGTGCTGCTTAAAAAGTTTAATGCTAATGAGCAAATTATAGACATAGATATAGATATATCTGAGTTGTTCAGACCTTATCTGAAACTACTGTATCCAGTTCTGGGCACAATTCAAGAAGGATATTGAGAAACTGGAATGTGTCCAAAGAAGGGCACACAAACTGACCAAAGTTTTGGAAGCCAAGCCCTGTGAGGATCATCGTAGGGTTCTGGGTTTGTCTAGCTTAGAAAGGAGAAGGTTGATAGAGGACATGAAAGGATGAAAGGATGTCCTATTTTGGAGAGGGCAAGCTTGTTTTCTGCTGCTCCAGAGACTATGACATGGAGCAACATAATCAGACTACAGGAAGCATTAACTTCCTGACGCTGAGAGCTGTTTGACAGTGGAATATGCGGCTTTGGAAATTGATGAAGGCTCCATCTCTGGAGTTTTCAAGCAGAGACTGGATGGCCATCAGTCAAGAGAGCTTTGATTGTGAGTCCTTACATGGAGATGGACTTGCTCTTGTGGTCTCTTCCAATTCTAGGATTCTGTATCTTTTTTCTGAGATACTTGCACATCAGAGGATTCCTATATGCTGTGAAGGCAACATGTATCAGACACTAGAAACAGAATTTTAAAAAGAAACCTTTAGCATATTCAGGCACTAAATCCACAATACTCAGAGCTGAATTCCAATATCTGTCAGTCTGGTTCCTGAGCAAATGCATGGTTCTGCCACCAAGTTACTTTGAGAAGTTATTTGTACTTTATGATCCAATTTGATCGTGCTTGGAGGATTTGTCTCAAGCCTGTGTTGGAGCTATGTCTGTAAAGAACCTTTGTGTATGTGTGTGTGCATGTGTGTAATTTTTTTATTAGTCATTTCAAGATATTACTTCCAGAGGGTATGGTAGGGAAAGGGAGCAGGTGGGATACTTTTGATAGTGTTAGTAAATTAAATCTTAACAAATATCTAGTAAATTGAGGAGGAGGAAAACTGTTTAGAGGGCAAGGGGAAAACATTATATAACGTTTTATTGTGTTACATCCAATTCTTGGTCTCTGTTATCCAAACTCATTACTTGTGATACTAAAGTTTTGCAAGTTTGATATATACTCCATATCAAAGAGGAATTTTATTATCTTCTATTAAACTTAATAGTCTTATCTTCTTGATCCATCTTCTTGTGTTTTCTGTCTTGTTCCATATTTCGTTTCTTCTCCTTTTTTCTTGATTGTTTGTTAATTATTTTCTTTTAACTCTCTTGTTCAGGTTTGTTTATTGCCAAACAATCTAAAAATTAATTGAACTAATCTGTTTGTTAGTAGGGTAGTAATTATGTGTACAAAATGTACTATATATTCACTGTCATTCTTCCCGTCTGTCTGTAAAGAGTCTTAACAGTACATTGGGCTCTGCCTGAACAATACAAAGCTTAATTTTTCCAGCACACTGAGTTTCTTTCTGTTTTTTCTTCAAGGAGTTTTAGCTGCTGTTATAGTTGTGGTTGCTGGATTTGTTCTATATAGCAAAAAACTACTTTGCTTTAAAAAGGGGTGAGTTGCCAAGGTATGATTTTTTTCTTCCTTATAACTTTTTTCAGACTGTTTGAGCAAGCATGTGTGTCTGCTTTACTCTGTCTTATAAGTTTTCTTCTGTTCCTCAGTTATTAGTACATTAATATTGATATATTCTAACCTCTATATCAGGAGTCCTCAAAAATTTTAAACAGAGGGCCAGGTCACAGTCCCCCAAACTGTTGGAGGCCAGATTATAATTTGGAAAAAAAACACTTTAATACAATACAATAATTAAAATGAAGAACCATTTTAACAAATATATAAACTTACTAGTATTTCAGTGGGAAGTGTGGGCCTGCTTTAGATTAATGAGATAGGATTGTTGTTGTTATTATTGTTGTTATTGTGTGCTTTGAAGTCATTTCAGACTTAGGTTGACCCTGAGTGAGGGCTGGGTAAATGACCTTGGAGGGCCGTATCTGGTCCCTGGGCCTTAGTTTGAGGATCCCTGCTCTATATAGATGATCAGGACTTAGGGAAAGGCCACAAGGTGGTCACATTAGGTTGATTAGCACAAAATTGAATTATTTATTAATTATTTATTTGTGGTATTTATATACCGCCCTTCTCAACCCTGAAGGGGACTCAGGGTGGTTCACAGTTTTGGCAACACTTCAATGCCATCGATAAAAAATAGTATAAAACATCAAAATTGACCCTCCCCTGATAAAACATTAAACATTATTAAACACATCACATAAAATAACATTCCATATCTCACAAAGACATAGCCGTTGTCTATAAACAGTCCTGGGTCATTGCACTTTCAACTTTCACTTTAACTTTAAATATTTCTACTATTCAAAGGATTTTCTTTCTGTCTATATAAGAGATTCCTTCCTTGGGTTAGGATTGTGCACATCATTTTCTCTTTTCGTATTCTAGATGTAAGTGCAAACTTTTGTGAATGTCAATTAAAGTGTTGATCCAGCAATAATTTCATAAGATTCAGTGGTAAATACTTAACACCAAAATGTTTTCATGTGATCAACATACCTTTCAGTTCTTTACAAAAGCCTATTGATGTAATGTAAGCATGGGTAAATTTCTGCCCTCCTACCAGCTGTTGTGGGAGTTGAAGTCCAAAACACCTGGAGGGCCAAAGTTTGCCGATGCCTTATCTAGAGACCTTCATTTAAAAAAATGTGTCTTTTTTATAGGCAAAGTGATACCCCTCCTAGTCCTTCAAAATCTTACCATGCAGTATCACGTAAAGAGGTAGAAATGGAAGAAAAATGAAGCTATCAGGCCCTGGATGTGCTTGCACTGGATTTCTGCCATAAACTCTTGCACCTGCTGGCTTCCTGCTGATGATCAACTGTCAATTATTTCCTTGCAAACTGGAAGTGGAAATTTAATGAAGAAGTTATTTTGAAAGTTGTTGACATTGGCTATACCGATTAAGACGTTTGGAGTATAAAATAATGTTTGGACTTAAGAAAGAGCTTGCACTTTTGCGCACAATGTTTCTGCATTCAACAGTTCAGCACTTCTCCCCTTGCGGATTTTTTAATTATTATTTTTGGTATAAGACTCTAATGGAGGATCTTGGAAGGGGGATGTCTCTCCATTGAAGAAGTGATGCTTTAACTTATCGTAAGTAGATAAAGATGTTGCAGTGCAAATTGCCATGGGATTTTGTCAGGAACCATAGGAGGCTTTCGATAATTCAAATCAATTCATTTCTCCCCTCAAGGCTCTATTCTGTTTACTTCTCTTCATGAAAATTATAGATTTTTCAAATCCATACTTCCTCTGAATTCTTCAAGATTTCTCATGCAGAGCCATCGATGAGCCTCTTTGACTTATCTCTTGTTTTTTAAAAATATGTAAAAAATATGTCTCATGTAAATAATGTGTTTGTGTGTTTTAATAAGCAAGAGAGAGAGAGATGTATTGTTAGTAAATGAAGTGTTTTTGTAAGACACAAATTTCATTCAGATGGGGGTGCACTTCCAGACTAATCTGAAGGAAGTGTGAGTTCTTCCAATATAAGCAGCTTGTGCCTTTTTTTACATTTGTTGTTTTCTCAGCCATTCCTTCCTCTCTTTTGGCAGGCTTTTTTGACTGCAGTGGCTTATTAAAAAGGAGATAAAATACAATAAGATCTTTATATCTTATTGTATTTTATCTCAGCAGAATCTGTATCTGTGGCTCCATTGAAGTGCGCCTGAGGAAAAATTGACACTTTAAGAATTTGCTAGGTTTTCCTGGTGATTGTATGTTGTGTTAGAGCTGTGTGGGAGAATCTAGAAAAGTTTTAGATACAATCTCTCTCTGGGAATCTCTAGATCCTCCAGCACTATTCTATGATATGCTGGGGCTGTTGTTAGCTAATTTAATGCTCAGTCATGGCCACAGTTTCAAGTAACCACAGTCCAGCCAGAACCATATTTCCCCATGGATACTGAGGTCTTACTGTACTTTTTGTGTCAAAATGTCTTGGAATTGAAAATACACTCATTAGATTAAGTAAGGAAGGAAGGATGGAAGGAAGGAAGACCGGAAGGAAGGAAGACCGGAAGGAAGGAAGACCGGAAGGAAGGAAGGAAGACTGCAACAAATACTGCAATTTCCCAACACAGTTACCCCTTATGGAGAAATCCTGAGTTAAGCAACCTACTGAAATCATGCCAAAAATATATGTAACTGAGCCCAAGCTTGTTAAATCCAAAAGGGTGTATTTGGAAGTAAGGTCAATATTGCAATTTTCATATTGAATTGTACAATATGTTACATGAAGGCTATGCAGAAAGTTAACTGTTTCCCTGAGAGCATTTGTCAAAATTAAATGTGTGTTTAATAAAACAAACTATTAAGTGTGCTTTCCTTCTGTTGAAATCATGTACGTAGCAACAAGGCATTTGCTATGCTCCACTTGAATGGTTCCATAGAAATCCATCACTACAGGCGCCTGACACAGCCTTATAAGTTACTTTGAATAAACATTAGAGTTTGTAGTCTAGTTAGATTCCACCTGAAGGATGAAATGCACAGCAACAATTCTCTTAAGTAACAACTTTTAGATCAAATAAAAAAATAGTACCATAATTGCATGCCAGCATTTCATGCAATGCAGTGTGTATGCCACTTTGTTGTGAAGATTCAAGTTTGACTTACAGTTTGGGGTTCTGTTTTGTTTTGGCAAGATTTGTTCAGAGGAGAATTGCATTTGCCTTCCTTTGAAGCTATGAAAATGTTATTTGCTCAGGATCACCCAATGTTCTTCCACGGCCAAGCAAGGATTTGAATCTATGTCTCCAGAGTTGTAGTCCAGTGCTCAAACCACAACACTACTCTGGCTATCATTGTATGTTACTACCCAGATTATATTTAACACTATTGCATAGTCTAAAACCTTTAAAGTATTCTACAGATACTAAACGATACAACAGTTTATGCTTTATACAATCTAAACAGGAAAAGGAAGGAGAAGGCAAAATCATAGGAGTACCTTACTCCTTTACTGGAAGGACTGAGTACTTCATCATTCTAGAGAATAAATCAACTTCAAATCCGGTTTCTGCCTCCTGCAGAATTCTGGGGTTTGTAGTTTAGGGAAGAACCTTTAATACAGTGGTTCTCAACCTGGGGTCCCCAGATATTTTTGGCCTTCAACTCCCAGAAATCCTAACAGCTGGTAAACTGGCTGGGATTTCTGGGAGGTGTAGGCCAAAACACCGGGGGACCCACAGATTGAGAACTACTGCTTTAATAGCATCACTAAACTACAAACCCCAGAATTCTGCAGGAGGCAGAAACCGGATTTGAAGTAGATTCGTTCTCTAGTATGATGTGGTCCTGAGTTAATCACTCCTTTGCTGCTACTATATTATTATTTGTACCCTGATTTCCTCTCCGGACTGAGACCCAGCTTGACTGCTATTAAACTCAAATATCACATTGCTTGACATACATGATGATAAGTTTTCTTGACAACAATCAATGCTTCGGCAGGAGAGGATGCATTAGAAAATGTTAGTGAAAGGTTTGCAGAAATGGAGAAAATATTATATGGGGGAAGAAGTGCAAAATCCCTCCAAATACATGCAGGATGTGGGGTTGCTGGAAAAGCAAAGAGGAGAAGGAAATAAAATGGAATATCCTTGAAATGGACACAGCCATTCAAAACACAGTAATGTAGTGGCAACATGTTTGTAAGTGGAGTTGTCTAAGAAAGTCCCTTGTCCTCACATCTACAAAGAGCAGAATCCAGATTGGTGTCTTTGTCTATATCAACAAAGCGGTTATTCTTCACCAGGAACATATTTTTCAAAAATGGATAGATTGTAATTATTGATTTTTAAATATATATATATATTGAAAATGTTTTGTTTAAAAATGCAACACGTTGTGGTTTGAGATGCTACAAATGACCACATAACAGAATTACCAAAAGCCAGCAAATAAAGCTTTAAAGTGCCTGGTCATATGAAAGTATACATATGCAAATAAGGATTATTTAGATGATAGTAACAATTCTGCAATGAATTAAGGTGTAAAGAGCTAGTGTTGTATAGTGATTTGATTACTAAATGCATCTACATAAGCACAGTTGGTGGGGATGAGAGAGAGGTCCTTCTCGGTGGTGGCCCCCCGCCTCTGGAACACCCTTCCAAGGGAAATAAGACAGGCCCCATCCCTCCCCTCCTTTCATAAGAGCTTGAAGACCTGGTGGTTTCAACAAGCCTTGAAAATGACCAGTTCTAATTATCGAATGCGGCCTTATTCTTCCTACCAATTACCCAGATCACTTCCTCTAATCAGCCCCGGAATGAACAGCCACAGACCCATACCTAATATTGTTGCCTGCCATAGCCTTGCAGTTAATTACCGGGGCCCCTAAAATTTTTGGGCTTGCACAAATCTTGGCCTGGCCTTTTGAATTTTTTAATTGCCTTGAACAGGCAGGATTACTTTTAATATATGTGTGTTATGGTGACAATTTTTATGCTTATATTGTTTTGTCAATCTTATGGTTATGTAGTTTTACTTTGTATGTTTTGTGATGTTACCTGGGAACCGCTCTGAGTCCCCTCGGGGAGATAGAGCAGTATATAAATAAAGTTTTATTATTTTATTATTTATTGAGGTTCAGCTTCATGTATGCCACTGATGTACCTGGGCTGAGAAGGTACATCAGTGTACCTTCCATTCCAGTCTGGGAATTCCACTCTTGGAATCCTTCATCAGTTGAAAAGGCTGTTTAGGGAGAAGAAAACGTGCGCGATGCTGGACTCGTTATGGTCCATCCTGGACCCATCGCTCTTGGTGTTTTTCTCACTGCTCTCCCAAATTCAAGGTAAGTTAAAAACAAAGGTGAATGTACACAGTAGAATTAATGCAGTTTGACACTATTTAAATTGCCAAAATTCAATGCTATGGAATCATGAGAATGGTATATTTGGTGAAGCACCAGCACTCTGTAGAGAGAAAGAGCAAGACCTTATAAAACTAGAACACCCAAGATTCCATTGTACTGAGTCATGGCAGTTAAAGTGGTGTCAAGATGCATTAAATCTACATTGTAGATTGGCCAAGGGCAAACTTTGACCTTCTGGGTGTTTTGGACTTCAACTCCCACAATTCCTAACAGCCGGTAGAAATATGCAGCTAACCTGTCTTAAATCTCTTTTATTCAGATCAGCTTAATAAATATTAAAAGACTGTTCTCTCCACTTTCAAGTCTACTTAATAAGGAAACCACATGGTCCAACTAAGGTTTGTTTCTGGAATATCCTGTTCTGGAATATCAATGTTGTTTTATTGTGTGCCGTAGGGGTGTTTCCAACCTTCAGTGACAGGGTTTTCTTTGTGAAATTTTTTTCATAAGAGGTTTTGCTATCGCTTTCCTCTGAGGCTGAGAGAGTGTGACCTGTCCAGAGACACCCAGTGGACTTCCATGGACAAGTGGGGAGTGAAACTTTGGTGTCCCATTGTGCATCAACACTGTACAATTAAAACAGTTTGGCACCACTTCAACTGCTATGGCTAAAAACTATGGGATCATGGGAGTTGTAGTTTTACAAGGCCTTCTGCAAAGAGTGCTGGTGCAAACTACAGCTCCCATAATTCATAGAATCATAGAATCAAAGAGTTGGAAGAGACTTCATGGCCCATCCAGTCCAACCCCCTGCCAAGAAGCAGGAATATTGCATTCAAATCACCCCTGACAAATTCCATAGTATTGAGCAATGGTAGTGTAAATTCTACAGTGGAAATGCACCCCAATACTTTTAATCCAATGCTCAAACCATATACTCTGTTGGCTCCAAGTTTTGACTTACTACTGTTCCAGCAAACTTATTCAATAGATCAGTTCTGTGATTTTAGGTCAACCACCATGTCAGACTACACAGAGAAGCCATTGAAATCCACAAGCATGTAGACAATTTTGACAGAAAGGAGGAAACCATGAAAATAAACAAAATACGGCTACCAGTATCAAAAAACTCAGTAAATAAAGAGAAACACTAAAAAAACAGGGGGATTCCAGACAAGAAACAATCAGGGCCAGCTAACATCTTCCAACAAAGGGTTCTCCAGGCAGGAAGCAGCCAGGCTTTGAAGTTACAAGGCCATTAAATGCTAATTGCAACATACACACTTGCCTCAAGAAGGCAAGAGTTCTTTCTCTCACCCTGGACATTATTCCACAGATATATAAACCCCACTTGCCTAGTTTCCGACAGACCCCTCAACCTCTGAAGATGTAGGCGAAACATAGATGTAGGCGAAACGTCAGGAGAGAATGGTTCTGGAACATGGCCATATAGCCTGGAAAAGTCACAGCCACCCAACCTTAAGATGTGATGGACTGTTAAACCCCAGTTTTCCTCACCATTGAGGCTAGGGATGCTGAGAGTGGCCCCCCGGGAACATCCGGAGGACCAGATGATCCCCATCTTTAGCTCATAGAATGTGTATTGAAAAGCAATACATAAATGGCGTGCTTCACTCTTATGGTTCAGTATCAATCCATTAAAAGAATATTGAAAATCAAACCTAGCTATGCACTGCTTGAGTTGAATATTTCCTGTTCATCGTAGGGGATTGTGGGCCTCCACCAAAACTGAAAAATGCTGTTCCTTCTGACAATGTTGAGGGGAAAAGCTTCCGCCCCGGGGAGTCAGTCGTCTACAGATGTCTGGATAATTTTTATAATATCTACGGGAAATTGGATGTGACAACATGCCTCTCCGATTCAACATGGAGCGACATCGAAGAGTTTTGTCAACGTAAGCTTTAATCTTTTATAGGATTAATCCTCATTATTTCACTACTTGTTTAGAAAAAGAAACTGAGGTAAAATATATTATATACTAGCTGTCCCCTGCCACGCGTTGCTGTGGCCCAGTCTGGTGATCTGGAAAATAAAGTAATTAGAAAGCGTTGGTTTCTAATATATGTAATTCCTTTATGCTTGTGAGTAAACAGTATTTCTTGTTGTTTCTTTGTCAGTGTTGATGTGGAGAGTGTCTGGTTTGCCTACTCTGGAATATGCAACATATCATAGTCCTTCTTTAAGGGTCTCTTTCAAATCTATGATACTATATCTGTGTGTGAGAGAATCATATCTATCTATATTTATGACTGGATGGCTCTTTGTCAGGAGGGCTCTGATTACATTTTCTTGCCCTGGTGAAGAGAGTTGGACTGGATGGCCTTAAGTATTTTCTGTTGATCATGGGGGTTCTGTGTGGGAAGTTTGCCCCATTTCTGTCGTTTGTGGGTTTCAGAATGCTCTTTAATTGTAGTGAACTATAAATCCCAGTAACTACAAATCCCAAATGTCAATGTCTATTTCCTCCA